GGGGGGGCTACTCCTCCTGCTCCCACAGTGCTGCCCACCCCCCTGCCCCCCCCCCTTCCCATCCCATCTGCAGCCCCATCTCCTCCCCAGGTCTCCTCCATCAATCGGGTGCTGAGGGGTCTGCAGGGCACGCTGCGCCCCACACTGCTGCCAGGGGGGGAGAACGTGGGTATGTGTGCACACGTGGCTTTGGATGCACGCCTGCGGGCGTGCAAACACACGCAGGGATGCATGCACACACCTGCAGGCATGCACAGATGCAAGGGTGCATGGATATTTGCAGACGTGCATGCACAAGGATGCATGCGGGTGCCGGCAGAGATGCACGCACACGTTTGGATGCATGCATCTTTTGCAGACGTGCACACACACAGAGATGCATGCACACCTGCAGACACGCACGCATTTGGATGCATGCACACCTGCAGAGCTGCACACGCATTTGGATGCATGCACACACCAGGATGCATGCACAGCTGCAAGCGTGCACACACATTTGGCTGCACGCACACCTGCAGACATGCACACATACATTTGGATGCACGCGTGTTTGCAGACATGCACAGGCCAGGATGCATGCACACCTGCAGACATGCACACACACACAAGGATGCATGCACACCTGCAGACATGCACACACACACACACAGAGATGCATGCACACCTGCAGACATGCACACACACACACACACGGATGCACGCACCCACTTTCTCCTTTCCTATCCCCACCCCTCCCTCTCCATCCCATCCCCCCCAGCCCCCTCCTCTCCCATCAGAGCTGCAGAACCCCAAATCCCCCCAAGGACCCCCTCAGGGACCCCCCCAGAAACCCCCCCGGGCCGCAGCAGACAGCGCAGCAGGACGATGCTGTCCCACCAGCAATCCAAAGCCCTGGAGGAAGGTGGGGGTCCGTTGCTGTGGGCGCTCATCGGGCTTCGTTGGGTTGGGGTTGAGTCCGTGTTGTGATTGAGTTGGGGTTGGGTTAGGGTTGGTGTTGGGTTGGGATTGGGTTGCGATTGAGTTGGGGTTGGGGTTGGGTTAGGGTTGGTGTTGGGTTGGGTTGAGATTGAGTTGGGGTTGGGGGTTAGGTTGGCATTGGGGTTGAGTTAGGGTTGGGATTGAGTTGGGGCTGGGATGGCGTTGGGTTGGCATTGGGGTTGGTTAGGGTTTGCATTGAGTTGGGGTTGGGTTTGGGTTGGGGTTGGATTGGCGTTGGGGTTGAGTTAGAATTGGGATTT